GCTATGGGTTGGAACCGACTCGAAGGCACTTAACAACAACAACAACAATCCACTTAAAAAGCCAAAGTGATGTTTAACTGAAATAATTTTATTAAAAACTTTCAAACATATATTGCCTATTTTGACTCTCTTAGGAATTCTGAGCATAATCTCACCTATTTTGATAATTCAGGGTGATCAGAATGTCTAGATTTGAAAGGCGTTTGAGTTATAGAGATATCTTTCTCCAGATACTGAGTTTTAACTGTTTTCTTCTTACCCCAAACAGTCATTTCTGGGTATAGATTGGATACCCTCACTTCTTCAAATCTGCCTGCATCTTTTCCTCTAAAATTCTGGAAGTTCATCAAAGGTGTCCCTAAGCCTCTGCTACAGAGAATTTTGTGACAGATATTTGCTCCGATGAAAGGTTTTTGCTCACTTATAAATAGCTGTGTCTGATGTAGGGTAGGGCATGCAGAATATTTGACCTAACCGAAAGTGAGATGTTAGTGTATCAAACCAATTCAAATAGTAAAAAATAATTTTTACTCTTGTTCACTTGCCCCATGACCAGCAATGTTCACTTACAAAACTTCCTGTGAACAGTTGCCTGAAAGCTTGGGGTCAAATTTCACACTGATTCATAGCAGCATTGTATTAGTGTGTTTATTTACACTTTGCTTCCAAAAGGGTTTATGACAACTCAACTTTTAGGGTTAGCATTTTTTCCTTTTACTTTGAAAGGTGTTTCAACTTTCTCTTTCTATCACAATAACCTTTGAGTATATGCTTTTGGAGTGATGTCAAAAGCAACTTGAAAAATAACAAGGCACAGGCTACGTTTTAATCTGCAAGACAACTTTCAATTAAGTATTATTGTTTCGCATTCACCAAGTGAATAAACTGAGACTTGCTGTTGTTAAGTGCTGTTGAGTCCATTGTGACTCCTAGTGACCATGTATAGGGTTCCCAAGGAACAGTTGGTGAGACTGAACCACCGACTTCATGGTTCAAAACGACCTTACGGTTCAATGCTTATCCTACAAGGCCAAACCAGGATTCCAGGTTAAACAAAATCCCATAGTCCCACATTTAGAAGTTGTGCAAAGAGAATTCTCACCCAGATCTTTCTGACTCCACACTCCTGCTTAGTTCTACAATGCTATGTGGTCTTTCAAAACAATCAAAAAGCAAAGCAGTCTGTGGCCGTTGCATGTGTGGACAACCACAGAGAGCAGAAGTTAAACCTTGATATTCAGAATGATGACTCAATCCCTTTATTTTAACTAATAAATTTCTTTTAGGCCTTAAATTTTATACATTTTTGGAATTTTCAATCCACTATGATTATCTTTCCATCTTTCAAGCTTTAATATCTTTAAAAGTATATAAACCTCAACTTCAGCCATCCAGAACAATGCATTCTCAAGAATTTAAGGAGTAATAGTTTTATAACAATTGATGTGGTTTTACCTTCTACTAGTTACACAACAATTAAAATTAGTTGTATCCTGTTCTAATGATACCTCTGTAGTCATAACAAACATTCCAGTGTAATTAGTCAGCTAACCCCATCAGGATAACCATGGACAGCTCATTCTACGTAAGCTCCTAGTATTATTTTATGTTTGAGTGACTATGTGACCACCACTCATCATTGGCAAGTACTTTTATAGTACCAAGATAAAATTACTTTTACAACTCTTCTACACTGAGAAAAATATTTTCTAAAGAGTAAACTTTAAATCAGAAATCACTTAAATTGTTCCAGAAAACATTAAAATATTCTATAATACTGATACATTTTCCTTGATACTTAAGCCTGGTATCTCTAAAAGAAATTAAATTTTGAATCTTTGTAAAATTTCACATCAATAAATAAAATAATCTTCTAGTACCAAGACAAACACAACAAGGACTCAAAATAAATAAATAAATAAACTCTGGTTTTAAAAATAGAGGTAAAACAGGTCATTTATCTGATTCAAATTTGTCCACATTCTAGCAATGAAATGGTATTAATAACTTCATTACATCATTTTTAGTAAAGCCCCTGGAACTCATTAATTTCAGGTTGTGTACCAGCAAAATATGAAAATGTAGGCTGGCTAGTGCAACTCATCCAACCAGTGACAGCTGCTTTTTTAAAATCCTGTCAATTATTTTATAAATCGGTGTATGCTAATTCTCACAAGTCTTACCGTCAATTTCTCCTCTAAATTCTTGTTGAATAAGCGTCCTTTTTCATGCTTCTCAAATTCCATATTAAAAGAGAATAGGAGACACAGAGAGAGAGAGAGGTTCAGATTCTGTCTAGAAAATGATTTGACGTGCTTACATGTTAGATATTGCAGGACATTCCAAGTTGTGAGAGCCCAGGACACTATCAAAAAGCCCTGGCGATAATTTCTGGTTAGCTAGTGTTTCCATTTATAGATGTTCAAACCCCATAAACAGAGCTCTGAAAAGAAGTCAGGCAGCTGGCCTTAGATACTGATAAATGTCACTAGATATTACAGCAAACCCTTCAACAGGAGAATATTCCAAACAGGTTAGGTTTTCTGACCTAACCAAGAAAGATAAATGTAGTGACAAAAAAGTCACTAACAAAGAGTTCATTAATACCTACTGGAGCAGAATAAAATATACTCTAGAATACAGATCTAATAAACCAGTGAAAAGGGACAATTGTGATAGTCATGTAAGAAATATGAATCAGTAGGTTTTGTTCTTCCAAATACCAATTTGCTTCTTTAAAGTACAGACATTTAAGCATTACTTTACAGCTAAAAAAAAAAAGTCATATAAAGGAAAAGAGCAAAGGGATAACTAAAACTATAGAGACAAACAAGGCATATATTCAAGGGAAGTTGCCAATTTTAAACCATGAGAAGTTGGTAAATGATGCTTAGCAATATCATGAAATGAAAGTAGTGTTATATGTTTAACAAAAACTGACTTATTTTCCTCCTACTTCATTATACTGGTTTTCCAACTGGGAGAAAAGTTATGACACAAGAGACAAAATTCATTTTGGAAATTCTTTCAGGACTCTTTAGAGATTTGTGACTTGCCTTGAAGAAAATTAATTGTGTAGCTAGGTGGTAATTAACTCTCTCTGAGTTTTGTAGTAAGGCAGATATGTAGATGACGATAAAGAAGAACAAAAATGGCTTTCAGAGTAAATTAAGATTGATCTCTATGGTAGCCTAATCCCTCAGTCTGTTTAAGGAGTCCTGTTTTTTGTTTGGTTGGTTTTTTTAAAGCTTTTATTGTGAATCAAGTGGAAGTTTACATGGCAGAATATCAGTATTGCACTCAACCAATTATATTTGCTTCATTGAAATTATTACAATCCCCTCCATGCACCACTGGCTAACAGTATTTATCTCTATTCCCCCCTTTTTTATGTACACAAAAACACTCAGGAATATATAATTGTTTAAACAACCAAAGGGCACATTTTGCAAGCCAGCTTCCTGCCCACCAGCACATAGCCTTTCTCATTCCATGACTCTAGAGTCCTCAGCTACTCTATCTCTCCATGCCATCACCTCTGCCTCCATCTCTGGTTTCACTGCTTCTCTGGTTAGGATCCCGCACTCCATTCATGCTCTTCCATCTTGATGGTCCTAGGGTCCTCTGTTCCTGGAATGTAAGATTAACTACTCCCCCACTTGTATATCTTCTACCTTTATAGTTGTGACAATTGCAATTAGTCATGATAACAATTACTCACTATTGAATCAAAAGAATCCTATCCCCGTCTCCTTTTACCAGACCCATATAGACAAGATAAAACTATTCAGTGAGGGTTCTACCTTCCCCCTGGACTCTAAAACTAAACTCCCTCTTGAAAACTTGTAAGCCAGCCACTTTGTGCCTTTATAGCGCCCCCTCCCACCACCACCACCACACCATTTTAGGTCCAATGTCTAAGTTGCCCATCCCTATCATCCCTGTATACAGAGGGGATAGACTTGATCCTTGATGTGAAGACTCCTTCCTTCACAGTTGGTATTCTGAGCAACTACCCCCATAAGCAAAGGTCAGGACCATCAAATCGCAGCAATTTACACTTACTTCCTATATCAAACTTCTTTATCTTCCTTTATTTGAGTTCTGGTCATAAAGGCATCCAAGTTAGGTCAAATAGTACTATCTGCAAGTTTGGGCAATCTTGTACACCTCCTCCTACTTCATATCAGCTGGACACTTCACTCTCAGCTCTAGCCCCCAATAGCTAGGTCAGTATCCATGGGCTCAGGCATTCCCAAGTCTCCCCAAACTTTGGATCAACTAACACTTTCTCCTCTCTCTCTCATCTCAAGGTTGACAGGAGTCTATGGAGCATGGTTGAATTCAGTCCACGTCTTCATTACTGCCTTTCCTCCACAAGTAGACCAACGCAGTCACCATTGAGCTGCTGTGTTCCCTTTGAGTTTCAGTCTTAGAAGGTGGTCTGTCCTGAAGGGCCTTGATCACTTGTCTTGATGTCTCTCCAGTGAACAGCTTGTTTGTTCTTGTAATAGCCAGTCTAGTTCCTCCCCATCCCTCCCGCCGTGCCCCTGCTGGTCTTTCTTTCAAGAAGTATCTTCTGTTCCATTAACCATTCTGGGTTGGTCTGCATGGCCTAAGGAGTCCTTTTAATTCTTGTTCTTGACCTTAACTCAATTTTCTCATGAGTTTTCCCTTCTATTCTTAAGGAAACATTTTAGGAAATGCATTGTAAGACTTTGTCATTTACAGTGATTGCAGCAGATTCTCTGTTGTCAGGCAGGATTGCTTACCCTGTATCATGATGGAAGGGCTAAGGACTGCAGCAGTGAAACATTTAATAGGAAAAAACCCTGGCCATCAGGATGGTGAATTCAGAAGCGCTATATTGGTGTGGTACAATGCACTGGACTGAAAGTTTGATTTGAACCACAATGTCAGCGGTTCAATTTCACCAACCACTCCTAGGAAACACTAAACAGGGTCGCTGTGAGTTGGAACTGACTTGACAGCATTTAACAACAATAACAAAATATTGGACACACAGGCAGGAAGGAATTCCGTCTTTGACTCAACTCTGAATCCCAGAAAGTTAATTATACATGCTAGTTGTTGTGCCAACAGTTTTAGAGATTTATTAGCATGCAAGACAGTTATGTGATCAAAAACAAGGCAATGGATGACATTTTATGTGACTGGAACTTTCTAAATCTCTCTCTCAGGTAAAGAATCATGTTGTGGCTGTGAAAGGGAACTCAGTTCTGGCTCAGTGTGCTAGTTGAATGCCTGAAGCTATATCCAGATTCTGATTTGGAAGATAAAGAATGACGGGGTGTAGAGTTGGATGGAAGAGGAGGAAATGGGAGGAAAGGGATCAGTTAGGGAGAGAAAATAAGTAAACTGTTGGAGCTTTGTCAAGCACGGATTGTCAACAGAATTTTAAATGGTCTGGGACTGCCAGTGCTAAAAGATTTTCATTCAACCAACAAGTACTGAGTACCTCAAATAGATAAGGGCCTTATCCTAGATGTAGGAAGATTTTAAAAATACATTTTGAAAAATTAAAAGAGACAATTCCCAGATTTCTGCTTCAAAAAAAAAAAAATCACAATTTGGGCAATACTAAATATAAGTAGCATGAGGATGATACTCTCATATAGCACTCACCAAGAAACTCTGGTGACACAGTGCTGTCAACTAGAAAGCTGCTGGTTCAAATCCATCCACTTGCTACTCTGTGGGAGAAAGATCTAGTAATCTGCTTCTGCAGAGATTATATAGCCTTGAAAACCTTTGTTGTTGTTGTTGTTGTTGTTAAATGTGACCAAATTAGTTCCAGTCCAAAGTGACTCTGTATAGCGTTTCTGAGGAGCAGCTGGTGGGTTTGAACTGCTGACCTTGTGGTTCAATCCAACCTTGGGGTCCAGCGCACTATCCTGCAGCACCAACTAATCATTGGCCCCCAGGTTCCCCTGCCTAGGTTGTTAACTACCACACTTAAGCACCACTGCACAAATAGCTTTATTACAGGCTGAGATGGATTGAATTGTGTCCTCCAAAATGACAAACTGACGTTTAACTCCTGAGTTTGAAAGTAGGTGTTTGAAGACGTGTTCAGTTAACATGAGGTCATAACTGGAATAGGGAGGGTCCTGAGTGGCTTGATATCCTTTTGGAAGACAGACAGACAGCCAAGTGAAGACACTTAGTCTTCATCCTCAAGCCATGGGCCACATGAGAGTACCAGAAACTAGAGCTTTGGAGAGAACATGACCCTGCCAACACCCTCATTCAGACTATAGGCTCCAGAATTCAGACAATGTCTACTCTTATAAACCACCCAATCTTTGGCATTTTATTATGACAACACTACGATGCTAATACAAAGTGAGTAGGTAAATAGTGCCAGTACTCTAAGGTGAGAGGAACACTGGTGGCACAGAGGTGAAAGTGCTCAGCTAATCCCCCACCAGCTCCTGTGTAGGAGGAAGATATAGCAGCCTTCTTCTGTATGGATTACAGCCTTGTTAACCCTGCGGGGACAATTCTAGTCTGTTTTGTAGGGTCACTGTAAATCAGATCGGACTCCATGACAATGAGTTTACTGTACAGTGAATGCTATCTACTCCGTCCACTATAGCCCTTGGCCACTTGATGGTTACACAGAAAGAAGAAGAAAAAGACTGAGCCACAGTGGTCTCCTTGTTGTTTCTCCATCACAGTAAGCTCAGGCCTTCCTTAGGGTTTCCCTCTGCCTGGAGAACTCTCTCCACAGATAGTTAGTAGCTCCCTCCCTCACTTCCTCCAGGTTTTTTCAATAATCTCATCTAAGGTAGCAAACTCTCCGTCCATTCATTCACTGTTTTCTTCCTTATAGATTTCACTATGGCATTATCCCACATTGTGTTTCATGTTTATGCATATCGATACATTTTTATTTATCTCCCTATGCCCCAGAAGGTGTGTTGTTCATCACTTTATCCCACACTTAGAACATGTTGTTAAATGCCATTGAGATGGTTTCAACTCACAGCAAGCCTGTGTAGGCTTTCCAAGGACAGCTGTTGAGCTTGAACTGATGACCTTACGGTTCACAGTCCAGTGCTGATGCTGATGTTACAGCACCACACCAGTAGTCCAACTGAGAGTGACCTTATACAGGAAAATACGTATGGAAGTGGACAGCCTAGTCTATCTCCTACAGAGTGACTGCTAAGTTTGAACCACTGGCCTTGTGCTTAGCAGCCCAACACCTAACCCACAGAGCCACAGATCAAACGTTCCTAGGATGATTTTTTAAAAGACAGTAACAATATGCTGCTGAGTGTTGGAACCCTCAAACATTGTTAGTGGGAATTTTTTAAAT